CTTTAATCCCAGGACTCAGGAGGCAGAGGCAGCCTGGTCTACAAGATCTAGTTCCAGGACAGGCTTCAAAAAACTACAGAGAAATCCTGTCTCGAAAAACAAAACAAAACAAAAAGCCTACAAAAGGAAAAGAACCAAATAGTGATGTGTATTACATCAGGGATAAACCCCTAAATATTGTAAGTAAAAAGAAGCAGTTTTTTTTTAAAAAAAAAAAAAAGCACTTATTGTAAGACTGTGTATATGAACTAGGCAAATAATGGAGATAAAAAGTAGATTAGTGGTTGCCTAGGTCTGGGAGTTGGAACAAGGAAGGATTGCCAATGATGGTCAGGAAAACTATTAAGATGCTGAAAATGTTATAAAGCTGTAGTGTATTGATTGCACGATTCGAAATCATTTAACTATACACTTAAAATGAGGGAATTTTATGGTGTGTTAATTATTCCTCAATAAAACTTTATGAAAACCAAATGATTGTAAACAGAAGAGGAAATTCACCAAAGTATACAGAGTATTCACTTTTATTTTGGGGGGTTTTGTTTTGTTTTTTGTTTGTTTGTTTTTGAGACAAACTTTCTAGCTCAGGCTGGCCCGAAACTCTGTTGTGGCAGAAAATGACCTTGAAATCTTTCTTACCCTTCTGCCTCCACCTTCTGAGTTCTGGGATTACAGGTGTGTGCATCCGTAGCTAACTTATGTGCTGTTGGGGATCAAACACAGAGTGCATGCTAGACAAGCCCTCTGCTGACTGGATGACATCTCAGTACTCAGGGCAGTATTTAGTGATAAACCTCCAGAAGTTTCTCTATAAAATCGGGAAAGAGAATATGCCCACCACTACTCCTGTTGCTAATCGGTGCCGTGGGTGAGGTGGTGCAATAAAAGAAAAGTCATCATGTATGTATATGGATTGCAAATTTAATATTATTCACAGATTATGTGGCTCTCAAGTATTGACAAACTTTCTGTGAAAGACCAAGTAATAAATATTTTAGATTTTGGTAGTGTGCAGTTTCTGAGTAGCCACACAGGAACAGTACATGAGTTGATGTGGCTATGTTCATACACGCTGTATAAAAACAGCCAGTGGACCAAGTTTGGTCCACAGTCATAGCTTTCCAACCCCTTGTCTATACAGATATCCTAGAATGTCTTCAGAGAAATAATCAGAATTAGTAAGCATTGACCAAAATTGTTAGTTATAAATTATGGAAAAGTATGGAATTTTCTCAGAAAGACAGAAAGAAAGAACTCCCATAATAACCTAGTAGGCTCTCTACTAGGTATACATCCAGAGGAGCTGAAGTCAGCTGCTAAAGGCTTGTACTCAGTCACTCACTGTACAGATGTGTAGATTTTTAAAATATGGTACATACACAATATGTTATTCAGCCCCTTAAAATACGGAAATCTTTTTCAGCAATGTAGATGAGCCTGGTAGACACATCTTAAGTGAAATAAGCCAAACATGGAATGACAGATTTCAAAAGTAGACTTGGAGAGGCAATGATTAGAATAGTGGTAAATTATCTAAGAAGCTGAAAACTGGTGTAGAGGGGAGAGATTGGTCAGCAGATACAAAATTTCAATTAGGGAGAAGAAATTCAAGAGGTATAGATTATATAACATAGTAACCATAGTTAATAACAGTGTATAATACTTGAAAAAATCCCTGAGAGAGGGCCTTAATGGCATATGCTTTTAAATCCTAGCATTTGAGAGGCAGAAGCAGGCATAGCTCTGTGAGTTCAAGGCCAGCCTACTCTACATAGTGAATTCCAGAGCAACTTGGGCTATATAGAGAGACTAACAAAACAAAACAAAAATTCTTGAAAGTATATAAAGTAATACATAATAAGTTAATTATTAGCTTAACAATGTAGACATTTCAAAGCATGTTGTGGGCTGGGAATGTAGCTTAGTAGTAGAGCACAGGTTTAGTATGTGCAAGCCCCAGTTTTGTTCCCTAGCCACACAAAAAAAAGAAAAATCATGTTGTATACCAGAACTATACCCAATTTTCATATACAATTGTATATACCATGTTTTAATCAAAAATAAAGACTGAGCAGTGGTGACACATGCCTTTAATCCCAGCTCTCAGGAGGCAGAGACAGGTGCATCTCTGAGTTGAAGGCCAACCTGGTCTACAGAGTGAGTTCCAGGACAGCCAGGGATACATAGAGAAACCCTGTATTGGAGCAAAACAAAACAGACAAACAAAATCAACTAAAGATTACTAGGTATAAGATAATGTACAAATTGTGCATGTTCCCATTGTGAGTGTATCTTACAAATAGTTAAAAAGATTTCCTTTTTTCAAAAATTTTGAGACAGATCTCATTTTGTAGCCCAATTTATCCTTGAACTTGTTGTCTTTCTGTCAGAGTTGGTATATAAGCGTCTATACCAGTACTTTTGAAATAAAGTAGTGTGAATATATGTTTTATATATAGACTTATGTATTCACAAATATAAATACATAATTTTTTTAGTTTGATTGGTGGTTGGGGTTTTGTTTTGGAGACAGGGTCTCTTACAACTCACAATGGCCTCCAACTTATGAGGTAACTGAGGATGACCTTGAACTCCTGATCCTCCAGCCTTACCCTTCCAAGGGTTGTGATTATAGGCATGTGCCATCACACCCAGATTGTTACATATATCTTGAGATGGGGTTTCATTGAGTCACTAAGACTGGCCTGGAACTTACTATTATAGAACAAGCTAGTCTCTAATTCAAGGTCCTCTTGCCTTAGCCTCTTAAGTGCTAAAACTACAGGTATGTCTCCACATGTAGCTACAGTATATAATTTCACAGAAAATGGATAGTCTTTATGTTAATTGTAAGACCTAAATTTAAGTCTTTATGAGATAAATAGAACCTATAGATAAGAAGACTCAAAAACTACAATAATCCCAGAAGCAGTAGAATCTCAGCAAGTTCATTTCCAACTTGGTCTACATAATAAGTTCCAGTACAGTCAAGGCTACTTAATGAGACCCTGTCTCACAAACCAAGAGGGTAGGGTAGGAGGTCAGACATGAACTTAAAATGTTAGGAAAACAGAAGAAGCTGGACAATAGATTTTAGAATCTGGGAGGCAGGTAGAAGAATGTCAACTGATTTAGCAACTGCAGTTTAGGCAGTTTCACTCAAGAAGTTTAAGAAAGGTAAATCTTCGAGCTGGAGATGGTTTAAGAGTACTTACTGCTCTTCCAGAAGACGTGCGTTTTCTTGTCACCGTATCAGGTGGATCACAATTGCCAATAACTACAGCGATAGGGGATCAAACACCATCTTCTGGCCTCCCCAGGCACCTGCACACAGATGATACACACACACACACACACACACACACACAAATGTAATTTTTTAAAAGAAAGCTAAATCTTGAGTTTCAGAGGGAAAAGTTTAAGACTTTACTGAGTTTACCCAGAATCCTCAAAAACCATAAGAGTTGGCAACTCTGGGTATCCTGTACTGAAAAGGTGGCTAAAGGGGAAATTTGAATGAGAAATATTTAAGAACTTGAAGGTCTATTCTCCACCCCTTCTAATGGGCAGTGCATCATTTTACTTGAAGTTTCTATTTTGGTAAGGAGGACAATATAGAAAATATTGCCATATTGAAGGATGCCAGAAACAGTCGGGGGCTGAAGCCAAGGTAACGGAGTGCTAATGCACACTGAATGTTCAGCTCAGACATTTTTAGTTTCTTTCAGTTGTCAACCCCAAAGACCTAAGCACTGAGAGCTTCCTCAGAAATGACTTCACCCTACCCTGTACTCAGAGTTCCCAGTGACTTGAATCCCTTGCTCTTAAACTATCTAATAATAATCAGATGATTGAGAAAATCTTCTAGTAGAGAAAACATAAATAGGAAGTTTTTTGGAGGACAGAGAAACAACATAGGGAGAATAAAACTTAATAACTAGTGCCGGGTGTTGATGGCGCACGCCTTTAATCTCAGCACTTGGGAGGCAGAAGCAGGGGGATCTCTGTGAGTTCAAGGCCAGCCTGGTCTACAGAGCTACTTCCAGGACTGGCTCCAAAGTAACACAGAGAAACCCTGTCACAAAAACAAAAACGAAACATAGTAACTAGTTACCCATATTCTCTTATATAAGACTTGAGTGCTTGAAGCAAAAGTAAGATACAGTTGAAAGAGAGGCCTTTTAATGGACTAATACTATTCATCCTCTGGTAATGAGTCACAGCTCTTCATTTTAAAATTCTCAATATGTTTTATGGGCTGGCAAGGTGGCTCAGTGAGTGAAGGTACCTGCCAATATGCCTGCAGCCTGCGTTTAATCCTTGGGGCCCACATGATAAAAAAGAGAGAACCAACTCCTGCAGATTGTCCTCCACATGTATACCCACCACACATCATTTTTTCTTAATTAAAAAAGTTGAGTTTATATGGTTCATGATTTTTACAATAACCAAAAAGAATAGAGGAAATGGGTGAGAGGCAATATTGATAATGACTAAAATTTTCAGAATATTTGAATATTATAAAGATTTAGAAACTCTTATGAATCTTCATAAAGATAAATAAAAATCTAAGTTCTTATGTCTCAAAGTAAAATTGCAGGATTCTAAAGACAAAAAGATCAGCTGAAGGAAGTGGAGAAAAATTAAGTAGCAGGCTGTTAGCAGACTGACGAATAGCAGCAGTGGAATCTCCTCACGTCCGTTGAGGAGCCACTGTCCTCTCCGCTCTATACGCAGTGAAACCTGGGCTTCAAAGAGTCAAAGCCATGAGTGAGCGTTTACTTCAGTAAAGTTTTACTTAAAAATTGTAACGGTATACTCAAAAAATGATCTCAAAAGAAGGGTTGGAGACTTAAGGTGAGGTAGTAAAAGTAAAACAGCATAAAGTATGTGTGCAAGGTTTTCATTGGCTCTCAGTTCTGCTTTAAGAGTAAAGTAATTTGACGAACTACAAATCATCCTATCTGTGGTAACACTAGGTTTGTGGTCTGATTTCTTAGGTGCACAGAAGACGGGTGTCCACATAAGAAGTTCTTTCATACACGTTTCCTCATGCGAATGAGATTAACACCAGATTGTTCTAAAATGTTGATCTCAACATCCTCTGGATATCTTTTGATTTTGCACGATTTGGACTTAACTAAGTCTTTAGAAGTAGGCAGCTATCCTATTTTGAGAGCAAGAAGAACTACTTCAAGTTCAGGTAAGATTTTCTGATTAAAAGATTTTCTGAAGAATCTGAGCCACAGAAATTTGTTCTAAGTGTGTGAGCAGGGAAAAGGACAGAAAATCAAAGCTGTTCTTTCGGAAGCTTACTCATGGCTTTCCAAGGATGGGCGATGATCTGTGTGTGCCAACAATAGCATTAACCTGTGCCTCTAGGACTCTTAGCTCTAAGCCAGAGAATCACCATCCCTGCCTCGAACTTAATGGTGGCCCATGGTACCTGTTTTAGGATGTTAAGTTACACTCACTCCAAGAGCTCTATGTCTGTAATCTATCCTACACTTCCGTGTCCACTCACAAGCTGATCCATCTTGAAGCATCCTTTTGCCAAGCCTCGTTCTTTTTTCACTGCTGATTTCAGTAAACTTAAATGAAGCTGGGGCTCATAAAACTTTAAATGCGATATTGTATCAGTATTATCTGATAGGCATCATATTGCCTCTGCATCTAGAAATGAAGCATTAGGACTAAAAGTGTGTGAATAGCACCCCTGAAATTGTCCATTTTTGACTGAAAAACCAAAAAGCTGTTCAGTTTTCTATGGGTGATTCTAGTTGTAAATGTCACAGGAAATCAGTCTGTCAAGGACCCCCCCCCAAAAGTGTGCAGCTGCCAGAAATGCAGGGTGAAACATGGCCGTGTGAGGTGACATAACACACAAGTATCTGATATTCACTGTCCCACAGATTTTAACTTTTTTTCTTCTATTTTAGAAATGTTAGAGAAGCAGAGATGTTTGCGTGCTTATTTGGCTTTTTATCTTATTTCACATAAGTCTTTACTATGAAAGGTTTTAAAAAGGGTTTTAAGTAGACCTGAAATAGATCCAAGAACTGTCTACATTTTTCTTAGTTCTAGTCCAGTTTACATGAGATTTTGTTGGCACATTTTAGTTGTATTAAAAGTTCAAGTAGATAATTAAAAAAATAAAAGATACTGTAAGAGTTATTCTAGGTTTATTGTTCGGTTTTCTTTTCAAGATTTGACCACTTCATCAAGTTCTTCTGGTTCTAGAGTTTCTGGTTCACCTTGTCATCACAGTGATTCTAACTCATCTGAGAAACACATGTCACGAGCCTCTCAACGAGAAGGTAGGTTATAAGCCGGCTTTACAACCTTACAGCAATAGATTTCTATCAAATAGCTTTCTTTGGTTTAGTTTTAATTCATAAAAACAAAATCCAAGAAAAATGAGGCCCTATGTTGCTTTTTAGCCATCGTTTGAACCTCTTGGAAGCATTGGTTTTATTGTCCCAGCCCAACCTTGATTTGGTCTAGTTTGAAGATGAAGTACTTGGGAACCGTATTTAAGAAATGTAGATTCCAAACAAGGATGCCATGAAAATTAAATCAGTATGTATGCAGAACTAGGCCTGGTGGCACAACCTATTATCCAGCACTTGGAGAGGCAAGAGTATCAAGAGTTCAAGATCATCCTCGTCTACAGAGGTTGGGTGTACTGAGTGCATTACAACCTAAATATTTTCAGCTTTGGACAAGTTTATTAATCCCAGTGTAAAGGAGCATCTGTACTGTCCTTAAGGACCATAAGTCCTGATCTTTCTAAATATTTTATTCTTTGGCCTATAGACCAGACCAGTAAGTTCTCTGAGTTGAGAATTGTGACTTTAATCTTCTAGATTCCTTCCATGCACATGACTTCAGTTATTAAATAAAGAACCTTTTGAAATACAGGTCCAATGGAAAAAGACCCCACTCATTTTCATGCCTTCGATCACTGGTTATTCCTGCTGTAAAATTCACATATATTGGGATTAAGAGAGCTAATCTTTTACATGTGGTATAGTATAAGGAATAAAGTGAGGGATGAAGGCAAGAAGGCAGTTGCCAGAAGTCCTGGTTCTGCCTTAGTCCTTGTGTAACAAAAATCCAAAATCTTTAATTTTTTTTTTTTTTAATCTCAGGAGTTTCACCACGAAATAGTCTTGAAGTCTTAACCCCTGAAGTTCCTGGTGAGAGAGATCGTGGAAACTGCATCACATCTTTACAGCTGCACCCCAAAGGCTGGGCCACCCTTCTTCGGTGCTCAAGCAACACTGATGATCAAGAGGTATAGGCTACTGTGCTTCACATTCAGCAGGGCTCAATGGACAGATTGCCCTTGCCCTGTGTGCAGACCTTAGACTGATAACCTGCCCTCCGGACATACTACCAAAGGCCCTGTTTCTCAACTCCTCTACCTCCTCCTCTGTTGCTTTATCCCTTCCAGTCTCTTCTTCCTCTCCTGTTTTGTTATAGTAAGCTGAGAAGCGCACTAAAGACCATCAGCAGCTGATATGCCTAGCTTCTTCATTCTGTCCCCATCACAGAAAAAAAAAAAAACAAAAAACAAAACCATATATTATATGTTACACCAAACTGTTCAGTTAAACTGACTAAATGTGAGGTTTAGCATTTTGTAAGATAGTTCCACCAGGCAGTGGTGGCTTACACCTTTAATCTCAGTACTTGGGAGACAGAGGTAGGTGGATCTCTGTGAGTTTGAGGTCAACTTGGTCTACAGAGCAAGTTCTAGGATAGCTAAACCCCGTCTCGAAAAACCAAAAGAAAAAAAAAGAGATATCATAGCTGTCTATGTAAAAACCAGAGGAAACTGAGAAAGGAAGGGGCTAAACTGATGTCTGGAGGAAGAGTTAAAAGAACTTAGGATCATCCCAGCACTCAGAAGGTAGAGACAGGCAGTTCTTTTGAGAGTTTGAGGCCAACCTGGTCTACAGAGTGAGTTCCAGGGCAACCAAGGCTACAAAGAGAAAACCAGTAGCAAAAAACAAACCAAACAAACAAACAAACAAAAAACTTAGGATCTCATTACTGTGGTAGGCAGGAGTCTGCAAGGAGCTCACTGGCTCTACAGACCAAACTGAAGGAAGGCAGAAAGGCCTTTGAAATACACAGAGGATGGAAATACTCTGAACTCTGGATTGTTGCTGCCCTCAAAAAAAAGGGAAATGTATTGATAGCAATGTAATGATAGAAGTCATAGGTAGCCTCAGGGACAAGGGGTCTTAAAGCATTATAGCTATAGCACACAATACCTCTAGCTTATAAAGATAAATCTAGACTTAGGTAAGAGGGATGATATTCATCTAACTGATTTCTTGCAACACTCCTGTGGTTAAGAGTATTTCTGCAGTACTGTTTGGGGGTCTGTAACTTCTGTTTGTCTCCTTTCTCCTCCTCCAGTGGACTTGTGTCTATGAATTCCAAGAAGGAGCTCCGGTGCGGCCTGTTTCACCTCGATGTTCCCTGCGGCTGACTCATTACATTGAAGAAGCTAACGTAGGCAGGGGCTACATCAAAGAACTTTGCTTCAGCCCTGATGGACGAATGATTTCTTCCCCACATGGCTACGGGATTCGCTTGTTGGGATTTGACAAGCAGTGCAGCGAGCTTGTTGACTGTTTACCCAAAGAAGCCAGCCCCCTACGGGTGATTCGCTCTCTGTACTCTCACAATGACGTGGTCCTGACAACAAAGTTCTCTCCAACACACTGTCAGATTGCCTCAGGGTGCCTTAGTGGACGGGTCTCTCTGTATCAGCCAAAGTTTTAGGCACAACTTACATCAAATGAGGAACTCTTCTGGTGTTTGCTTATGAATTACTTCAATTTAGGTGAAGTATTTTCTTTTTTAGAAGATCTTATAAGTTTGGGTCAAGATATTGGTTCTTATGGGTTGGTGAACACACATGTGACCCGAGTCCTTGGCCATCCAGCATCATCTGGCATCTCCATTTCGACCATACAGCATCGTTCTGTCGGCATTCCTTTGCTCCTGCTGTCCGTGCCGCTGAGTTTGAGTTTTCCTAGTCATTTTGCATGTGGCTCTTGTTCTCTCCCCCATCCCTATTTTCATCACTCCTCCCTGCACCCCCTATTTTATTTTGGTATGAATTTTGTGAGCATTGGATAAGAGTCATGGTTGGGATGAGGAACAGCCTGTGGCACTAGTGTTAAATAAAACCCAGAAGTTGGATGTTGGCACATCACTTGTTGAAAAAAAGACAGTTCATCTTCGTTTATCAGTACACTTGGCCTTTAAAGTTGCCGTCAAATATTGAGCACAGATAATGGCATTATTCTCATAACTGATACTCTTGCAACAAAATATCCTTTTAAAATTTCCTGTTAAAATTATACAAGTTATCTCATGTGAAATTTTTGCTGTGAAATTCTAGAAAAATATTGCAACCTCATTGTAATTTATTTTACTTGTATGAATTTAAAATCTCCAGCATGTGTCTTTATTTGGTATTTTGTTCCTGTCAGCAGCATTGGAAAGGAAAGGAATAAGCTCTGTCATTTCTGTTGTAGAAGATTTATTCATTAGGTTGGTACAGTATCTGGCCATAGAGTGAGAAGACTAAGTTGGCTTAGATTGGCTGTGATTCTTTGAATCACACAGATGAGCTGTTCACAGTTATAGGGTGGGAGGAAAATAAAAGATTTTATTGTCTTTGTTCCTTCAGCCAGAGAGCATAAACTCAGCTCTTGCCGTCACTAAGAAGGGAGCTGCTGTCTGGGACTTGAGTAGCACTACTGGCTCTGCTTTGGTTATGGAAAGTATCAGGCAAGGTGTGAAGGCAGTGCTACTCCTGTCCTGAATGGGCAGCGTCTTTCCAGTCTCTGCTACATTGATTGGCACTGTGTTGAGATATGTTAGAAGCTGGAATAATTTAAGCCATGCATAGCCTTGCTCTCTTTGGTCACGTGCCCTTTAGGCCAGTGTTTCTCAACTATTAGGATGCTATATAATCCTTGAAGGATTTGTGAAAAATGCAGGAATCTGGGCCTGACCTTAGAAGACTGGTTTAGGCAGGGAAAGGACCAGACTCTGTTTATAAACAGAACCTTAAATCATCTGTATCCAGGTGGCCTCCAGGTCATAGTTTGAAAACAACCTGAAATTGTAGCAGGTATTTCTATACCCATTTGGTGCTTAACACAATTCCCACAAGATGTTTCATCTATTTAAACAGTAATAATAATAAATCAACAATAGCAATTTTGGAGTAGCTAATAACTTGAAATGGTATTCATTTCATCGTTAGACAAATGAAAGAAGTTAAGTGATTTGCCTAAGGTCATACAAAGTTAGTGGGAAGACCAAAGCTTCAAGTCGCTTAATTCCTCGCTCAAGGCAATTTCTACTGTATTATGATGGCTGTTAAAAACATCAGTGATACCAGGCAGTGGTGGCATGTGCCTTTAATCCCAGCACTCAGGAGACAGAGGCAGCCTGGCCTACAGAGCAAGTACCAGGGCAGGCTCCAAAACTACACAGAAACCCTGACTTACAAAACAAAATAATCAGTGATTATGGGCATTTTGCCTTTAGGTTATATTATTGTGAATAAGATGATTAGATTGGAAAAGGCAGCCATGTGAGTAGATGCTGAGAGTTTTATTGATAGCAAAAAAGGTATTTAATACTTACAGAAATGTTTAAACAGCTCAAATACACGAATAAATGCACAGTTCTTTATAGTGCCCATCAGCCATTCACACACCTGTAAGAGCTGTGTCTCCCAAAGAACAATGCTAGCTCTGGGGCAGTCTTTAAAAATTAGATCTTATCATAGATGTTAGAAAAGCTGGAAATTTTGTAGTCATTAAAAAAAAAAACAGCAAAGTACAGTGAAAATCATAGGCTTGCTTCTATAGCTAATTTAGACATAAGTATATTAAGGTGGTGAGTTACTTCTTTGCTGTGTTCTTAGTTGCAAATACAGAGTTCAGAATGATAGTCTACAGCCACACTACCCTTGAATGCACATGAACTCATCTTAGAAGCTAAGGAGGGTCAGGCCTGGATGGGAGAATTCATAAGGATGCAAAAGCAATTATCTAAGAGGGATGCTTTTTATTTCCTCTTATGATAACCGAGCTGTTATCTGGAGTCTATGCTCTCTCTCTCTCTCTCTCTCTCTCTCTCTCTCTCTCTCTCTCTCTAGTTTTCCTGGGGAAAAAAACATCAAACTCAGGCTGTGCAAGGCTCCCTCCCAAGCAGTACTGGATTCAGACCCAGGTTTGCCTGTTTATTACTAAGTCTGTACTGACTTCTCTACCATTTTGTCCCTTAGTTTGTGAAGGATGAGCTACCTTGGTCTGTTAATGTATGAGCTTGATATCTTCTGCAAAATTTTATTACAAGGCCGGCCTAGTTGCCTTCAGTGCTGCATAGAACATTTCAAATACTGATGTTTCCATGAGACTGAAGATCATCACCCTAGGCATACATGTAGGCCATTCCTAAGCTAAAAACAAGGCAAGCAGCACTCATGGTGTTGAAAATGTAGAGGATAGCTTTGTGTGACAGCCAAGCCACAGAGATGAGAACTGAAAAGAACCAGCAAGTGCTGCAGCAGGGAACCTTTACCCTCTATGAGGGAGAGTCAGGGCCAAGACAGAAACCAGACAGTATTAGCCAAGAATTGAAGGGCCGCGGAAACCTGTACTATTGGGAAAACTTACATATTACCATTTTAAGATCCCATTTGAACAGTCTGGAAATCTGGTACTTTTTACTCTTTTATTCAGACATTTCTATTATAATTGGTAGAAGTATATTATAATTGATAATGAAGTTATTGTTGGTAAATCTTGGTAACTAAGTTATTCTGGCAAAACGCTTCCTGTTAAAGAACACCTGTTAGTGGAAATGCTATATTGAATGGTTTAGGTGCATCAAATATACAGTAGTTGCTTATTTTCAATCAGGAAATGAAGGGCTAAAAATGTGTGTGACCATGGAGCTGGAGAAATGGCTCAGCAATTAAGAACACTTATTACTCTTCCAGAGGACCCAGGTTCAATTCCCAGCACTCACATAGCAGCTCACACCTGTCTGTAACTCTAGTTCCAGGGCTTGACACCTCACACAGACATACATGCAAGCAAAACACCAGTGAACATAAAATAAAAATTATTTTAAAAAAAAGTGATCACAGCTGGTGGTGGCACACACCTTTAATCCCAGTGCAGGGGAAGCAGAGGCAGGTGGATCTTCAGTGAGCTTGAGGTCAGCCTGGTCTGCATGCTAAGGTTCCAGGCTAGCCAGAGCTATATACAGTGAGTCCCAGCTTATTTGTTTTAAGTGTCTTTTTGTTTTTTCACAAAGCCCAAATCATGTCTATTTTGCTATTTCTCCCTGTTAGATCCCTAAGAAGAAACCACAATAAAAGTTTTAAGGGAACAACGCAAGGAACGCAAGTTCATGTTCCCTACTCCTGTGTCTAGGACCAGGTCAGCTCATGTGATCTTAAAGGCTATCATTCTAGAAGGGAAGCAGAGGGGAAACACCCCAAGAATCCCTTAGAAGATTGGTGTCCTGGACCATGCAGCACTGTGTCCCTAAGTGTCTATTACTCTTGGCTTCTAGTTTATTTTTTGTTTTTTGTTTTGTTTTTTTTTCGAGACAAGGTTTCTGTGTGTAGCCCTGACTGTCCTGGAACTCACTGTGTAGACCAGGCTGGCCCCCAGCTCAGAGTTCCCTCGGCCTCTGCCTCCCAAGTGTGCACTACCATGCCAGGCTTTCATTTGACTTTTATAAAAGCAGGGGATATGGTCTGGTAACTTCCTGATGACAATCATCCTTATTCAATGACCAGTGGTCCTTGGGTGCTGTATAGATCCATTCAGTAACACCTGTTGGTCATGAAGGAATCCATATATGTGGATTTTGTTTGGATAACTAATGTGTATCTCTTAAGTGCCAAAATTTTAAATTTGTAGTTATTTTTGATGCAAGTCTCTGTAGGTATGGTAGTCTACCTCTCTGCCTTCTTAAACAGCATGCTCGGTCTGATTCACTTTATCATGATGAAGTAACATTACATTCATGATGTATTATTGCAAATACACAGTGAGCTCTGATACATGTAGAATATTTCATAGAACACAAAGGGCTATAAGAAATGTGAGAAATATCTCTTAGGAATATTCCCTCAACTATGTATTTGCCTCATTGTTAGCTTTAAAAATGTATATTGCGAAGTAATGTATTCTATCAGCATGCCTGTTTCTAACAGGCTCCTACTTTTTTCTGTGCTGTCCTATGGGCTGTGACATGAGTTAACCAGTCCTGGTCGCTGCCAACAATAACTAGGCAAACTCTGGACACACAGTGAGGCAGCTTCTTTGGCTGTGTTCTACTCACCATCTGAAAGGGATGTGTAAACCAGAGCTGCTACTGGATCCCAGACTAGCACGGAACTGAATCAGAGGGTCCTGCCCCCTCCTAAGAACAGGAGTGCAGAAGAGGAAGGAAAAGGAAGCTCCAGGTAGGCTTAGGACTGTAGAGATGCCACTGAAACCATTGAAGTGTATGCCTGATATCACAGTAAAGGCCACCGAACATGTACATCCTAGAGAATCCAGCCACTGTCCTGAGAACTGCTCCCGTTCGAATGATAATGGAAATTATCGCCAACAGGAAAATCTCCAGTTTGCCGTAAATGAGCTGACAGAGGTTCAGTCAAAAGCCCTGAGAAGCACATCTGATGCACACATCTTTTGAATGTATGTATATAGAAATATAACTGTAGGTGACACCCCCCAGGAGTAATAAAATAATGTTCAGGATTTAAATCCGGTCACAGTCTTTAAGGTAGGCTGAATCCGCAGCTTTCCCAAGGCTCTTTTTGGTCCAACGTTAGGCTTGTGTTTTTGACAAACTTGGAATATTCAAGTTAATAAGCTGCCAATCAGAACCCTTTGTCGCAGGGTCTAAGGTGCTACTGGTTTGTCTGCTAGACTGTGCTCCTTCAGGGCAGGGCTGTCTTCTTTATTCCTGTACCCATGGTGCCCGGGAGAGGACCTGACAGTGGTTGTTCAATAAATACCTGCTGAATGAGTCAAGTGAACTTTCACTATGTGCGGCCTCAAGTTCTTATGAAGCCAGAATGTGATGAAAAAATTATCGAGCCACAGAGGCAGTATCAGGCAGTGGTGGTTGGGCTTTGTTTTGGTTGGTTTTGTTTTGTTTTTAAATAGTAGGCTGTCTTCCTCTGGGTATTTATTGATTTTGAAAGCTAAATCAGGGTTCTAATTCTCATTGAACATGGACTTGAACCCTACTATATGCCTGGTACTAGGTACTCAGAGAACCGAGATAAAACTAAGGTCTCTACAGAAGCGTCGGAAACAGACATCAACCTGGCATTACAAGACTGTGGAGTAACTTAGGCTCCATCCTCATTTACATCCAGCCTGTCGTAAACCTGGGAGTACCAG